AGTCATAAAAGGGTCATAGTTCCCTCACGCTGGCTGAGGAGTTTTGGGAGTTGAAATCCACAAGTCATAAAAGGGTCACAGTTCCCTCACGCTGGCTGAGGAATTCTGGGAGTTGAAGTCCACAAGTCATAAAAGGGTCACAGTTCCCTCACGCTGGCTGAGGAATTCTGGGAGTTGAAGTCCACAAGTCATAAAAGGGTCACAGTTCCCTCACGCTGGCTGAGGAATTCTGGGAGTTGAAGTCCACAAGTCATAAAAGGGCCAAGTTTGAAGACCCCTGCTATATAGGATCAGCTAGGATTTCAGGTGGGGATGTCGTGTAGGAGAACTTGAATTCCCTTGACTCTTATCTGCCGTCAACTTGCTTTGACTGTGATTAGTTCAGATTCTTGTAGAGAGTGTTAAGCATGCAATAAACCTGTATCAGCCCCTGGTCGTCAGCGGAGGCTCTGTGGAGCAGGTGGCCAGCTTTACTGGGTGTTACCATAAAGGAGGACCTGACCTGGAGTGCTCATGTTATAGCATTGGTTAAGAAGGCCCAGCAGAAATTATATTTCTTGAGACTTCTCAGGAAACAACAACTGAATGAAAAACTGTTGGTGACCTTCTACCGTTGCTCCATAGAGAGTATTCTAACCTATTTCATTTGTGTGTGGTTTGCTTGCTATACAGTAGCAGATAGGAAAGCAGAGGGTCATTACCATCGCCTAGAGGATTATTGGCTCCCTCTCCTCCCCCCCCCGGACGAACTGTACAGTTCCCGTTGTCTTAGGAAAGCTCAAAATATTCTTAAAGACTCATCTCATCCCGGACATTCTTTTTTTGAACTATTACCATCTGGCAGACGGTACAGAATAATAAAAACGAAGACAAATAGGCTGAAACATAAGTTTTTATCCCAGAGCTGTAACCATATTAAATACCACTGTATAGTAGTGCAATATTAGGGGCAGCGCAATGGTGAATAGAATATGAAGGATGTGTGTATATAATGTACATTCTTATTTGTGGTTTTTACTTGTGTGTAGTGTGCACCGTGGATAGCACTTATTTCCTTTTTGAGTTACACAATGACAATAAAGATACTCTATTCATCTCAAGTGCTCTGGCTCTGGATTTCTTACGCGCGACAATAACTGAGCCAGCTTTTAACATTCTTTTTTGGCACCGATCTGAAAAGGTTATTTAAGATTTCTAGGCATTGGCATCCAACCCTCTGTTTCTGGGCAATACCATTCAAAAGAATTTGGAAGGCAAAATGTACATGTGAATGTACAGTATGTTAAGTCACTGGTTTAGGATTTTGAATTGTCCCTCAAGTGGTTCTGCTCTCCATTCCTGACATTCACGAGATTCTTTCTCCAAGCCAACAAGCAATCTCTAACGAGAACAGATCCACAATTTGCTAATAAGCCCAGTGGGAATAGCGCATTACAACACATGTCTAGTTTAATGAAGAGAAGGACGAAGGGTGACATGATAGCAGTGTTCCAGTATCTCAGGGGCTGCCACAAAGAAGAGGGAGTCAAGCTATTCTCCAAAGCGCCTGAAGGCAGGACAAGAAGCAACGGATGGAAACTAATCAAGGAGAGAAGCAACCTAGAACTAAGGAGAAACTTCCTGACAGTTAGAACAATTAACCAGTGGAACAACCTGCCTACGGAAGTGGTGAATGCTCCAACACTGGAAGTTTTAAAGAAGAGACTATACAGCCATTTGTCCAAAATGGTATAGGGTTTCCTGCCTGAGTAGGGGGTTGGACTAGATGACCTCCAAGGTCCCTTCCAACTTTATTATTACTATTACTACTATTATTATTATTATTATTATTATTATTATTATTATTATTATTATTATTATTATCATCATCATCATCATCTTTACAGAATAGATAGGAGTGGCAGTGCCTCATAATGATTTGTTATCAGGGACATGTGATTTTAGTTTGGATGAATAGGAATGCCCCAAGTCCTAGTGGGAAATGTGAGATTTCAAACAATGACTAGAGCAGGGGTCTTCCAACTTGGTCTTTTTATGACTTGTGGACTTCAACTCCCAGAATTCCTTAGCCAGGCACGCTGGCTGAGGAATTCTGGGAGTTGAAGTCCACAAGTCATAAAAGGGCCAAGTTTGAAGACCCCTGGACTAGAGGGAAAGATTCTCAATCTCCTTTGACAATCAAAATGCTGGTCCAGGTTGTCCTTGACTTACGGTCACAATCAAGCCCAAAGTTTCTGTTGCTAACCGATACAGTTGTTAAGTGACTTTTGCTTCATTTTACGACCTTTTGTGCCACAGTTGTTAAGCAAATCATTGCAGTTGTTAAATTAGTAACACAGATATTTAATGAATCTGGCTTCCCCATTGACATTTTTCCCAAGTGTCTTCTTAAAAACCTCCAGTGATGGAGCACCCACGATTTCTGGTGACAAGCTGTTCCACTGGTTAATTGTCCTCCTGCTAGGAAGTTTCTCCTTGATTCCAGGTTGCTTCTCTCCTTGGTTAGTATCCACCCGTTGCTTCTTGTCCTGCCTTCAGGCGCTTTGGAGAATAGCTTGACTCCCTCTTCTTTGGGGCAGCCCCTGAGATATTGGAAGACTGCTATCCTGTCTCCCCTCGTCCTTCTCTTCACTAAACTAGACATACCCAATTCCAGCAGCCTTTCCTTACATGCTTTAGCCTCCAGTCCCCTAATCATCTTTGTTGCTCTTCTCTGCACTCTTTCCAGGGTCTCAACATCTTTTTCATATTGTGACCAAAACCGGATGCAGTATTCCAAGTGTGGCCTTACTAAGGCCTTTTAAAGCAGGACAATCACCTGTTTGAGACAGTATAGGTTCTCCTGCTTGAGCAGGGGGCTGGACTAGAAGACCGCCAAGGTCCCTTCCAGCTCTGCTCTATTCTATTCTATTCTATTCTATTCTATTCTATTCTATTCTATTCTATTCTATTCTATTCTATACTATTCTATACTATTCTATTCCTTTATCTGATCTTGAAGATGAAGACTAGCACAACTGAGGAATTTAGAACAGCATAAGCCAGAAAGCAATCTGAATTTTTTTTTACAGGAAGACAAAATATGAAATCTATGTCATATAAATAATAAATTGTGAAATAAATCATTTTCTTTTTCCTTTGAAGGCCTCGATCGGGAGGCAAAGCCCAAGGATTGTGTCTTATCCTGCACATAATCTATGTTCTGGGCGATCCAGTCTTCATACCACGGCAGGTAAGGGGACCTTCCAGTCTTAAGACTGCTCTTTTTTTTAAATTATTGTTCTTCATTCATTTTAAATTATGGTTGTTCGTTAATATTCCTCCTCATACTGCTTTGGTTCTCCATCTCTGCAATCAACTTGCTGCGCATCCACCCAAAAATACCAAAACACTATAGACCTGGGGTGGGGAACCTTGGGTCTTTTATGACTTGTGGACTTCAACTCCCAGAATTCCTGAGCCAGCCATGCTGAGGGGAAAGGGAGAGGTTTCCAAGCTGAGCCATTCTGGCTCAGGAATTCTGGGAGTTGAAGTCCACGAGTCATAAAAGAGCCAAGGTTCCCCACCCCTGCTATAGACCAACTCTACATCTAGTGGAACTACTGGTTTGTATCTTTAGAGCAGGGGTCTTCAAACTTGGCCCTTTTATGACTTGTGGACTTCCACTCCCAGAATTCCTCAGCCAGGCATGCCTGGCTGAGGAATTCTGGGAGTTGAAGTCCACAAGTCATAAAAGGGCCAGGTTTGAAGACCTCTGCTTTAGAGCTAGCTGTAAATGTGGGCTGATCTACTTTACAGCTACCCAACCAGAGACAGCAGCTTTTATCTCCACCAGAAGTAAGACATTACTAGGTAGTCCTCGACTTAAGGACTGCAGTTGGGACCAGGATTTCAATTGCTGACCATTGTGTTTGCTAAGCAAGTCACAGCCAGTTTTATGACCTTTTTGCCACAGTTTTTAAGCAGATCAGTGCAGTTGTTAAGTGAATCACATGGCCCTTAAGCGAACCTGGCTTCCCCTCACTGACTTTGCTCGTTGGAAGCTAGCTGGGAAGGTTGCAAATGGCAATCATGTGACCGTTGGGTTGCTGAAGCAGTCGTAAGTGTGAGGACCAGTCATACGTCTTCCAGTATCCCAGGGGCTGCCACAAAGAAGAGGGAGTCAAGCTATCCTCCAAAGAACCAGAAGGAAGGAGAAGAAGCAACGGATGGAAACTAATCAAGGAGAGAAGCAACCTGGAACTAAGGAGAAATTTCCTGACAGTGAGAACAATTAACCAGTGGAACAACCTGCCTCCAGAGGCGGTGAATTCTCCAACACTGGAGGTTTTTAAGAAGAGACTGGACAGCCATTTGTATAGGGCAGTGATGGCGAACATTTTAGAGACCGAGTGCCCAAAAACTGGCCCCGTCCCTGCTCCACCCCCTGCCCCGCCCCACCCCATCCTGCCTGCCTGCCTGCAGGGCCACTCACTGTTTCCAGGGCCCGCCGCAGATCGCCCAGGCAGCCCAGCAGCGCCACGGCGGCCACAGCCTCTGCTCGCGCCCCGCAGCATCAACTGTGCACGTTGGGGCGTGAGAGCAGAGTCTTGTCTACGCTGCCTGGCTGCCATGTCCTTGGCTGCGCTGCTCCACGTGGGCCACGCTCAGGGGCGACTCTCCTCCAGGGAGGCTGCTGGTGAGGAGGGGGTCACGGGCGGAGGCGAGGCTGGGGCAATGGCATGTGTGCCCACAGAGAGGGCTCCAAGTGCCGCCTCTGGCACCCGTGCCATAGGTTTGCCACCACTGGTATAGGGTTTCCTGCCTGAGCAGGGGGTTGAACTAGATGACCTCCAAGATCCCTTCCAACTCTGTTGTTGTTGTTGTTGTTGTTGTTGTTTCAGGTTTATACCTTGAGGTAAGATGGGTGACCTATAAATTTTACAAATAAATAAAATTCAGTCCCAAAGTGGCTAACGGTATTTTTTTTTCCTCCTCGCCCACCCCTAAAATCCACGCAGTGGTGTCTATGGGCTCAGCTGACCACCGATTCAACCTGGCTGAGATCCTGTCCCAGAACTACGGAGTACAGGAGAAGACGGAGGAGGCCGACGAGGAACCAGATCACGCCGAGGAGAAAGCGAAGCCTTTGGAAGAGATAGAAAAGAGTTTCAATGCCTCCCAGGTAAGGAGCCTGGAGGCCTGTTCTTGCATCTTCTCTGCTTACCCAACTTAGGTTTTTGAGCATCTTCAAAATGTTATATGTTCTTATGCAGGTAGCCTGATTGACTTAGACCAGGGCTTTTCAACCAGTGGTACGGGTACCACCTGTGGTACATTGGCACCTGGCAGGTGGTACGCGACCATCCTACAAAAGTGGTAGCGAGGAATGAGCTGAACCAGTGGCAGCACCGCACAAGCCTGAGCAAGAGATGGCTGGAGTTGCAGGGCTCAGCGGAAGCGCCAGGATCAGTGCCACTTTCCAGTTGATCGGCGCGTCTTCAGGGCTGTCAGCTCAGTGGAAGCGCAAGGATCAGTGCCAGGCTCCAGCACTGATCCTGGTGCTTCTGCTGAGCCCAGAAGAAGCACCAATCAGCTGGAAAGCAGCACTGATCCTGGCGCTTCTGCTGAGCCCAGAAGAAGCACCAATCAACTGGAATGTTGCAGCATCTCCAGGGTCTTATGATTTACATTCAGATGCCTGGCAACTGATTCATATTTATGACGGTCACAGTGTCCCAGGGTCATGTGAAGTGACCAAAACCTGCTGCAACCACCCAGCAGACCAAACACCCCCCCATCCCACCCCCACTGCCAATCCTCAGCAGAAATGCTCACAACAATGAAAACCTCGGACAGGAGGAAGAGCGCGGCCGAGCGGGGAGGCAGGTGTCTTGCTCGGCTGTGGCTTGTGGGGCACTTTTTTCAGTGCCATTGTAACTTCAAACAGTCACTAAGCGAACTGTAAGTCGAGGACTAACTGTACTTTATCACTTTTTTCCTTTTTTTTTTTTTGGGTCATCAAGTTTTTGACACCTTCCTAGGCGTCTGGTAGTACTCAGATATTGCCATATCCTAAAAGTGGTACAATGGGTGAAAAGGTTGAAAAGCCCTGACTTAGACTGATAGATTAACTCAGAGCTTTTCAACCTTTTCACCCATTGTACCACTTTTAGGATATGGCTATATTCGAGTACCACCTGGCAAGGTGTCAAAAACTTGATGAGCAAAAAAAAAAAACCTGTTCAAAGTTGCAATTGCACTGAAATGACTTATGACCATTTTTCACACTTATGACCATTGCAGCCTGCCCAGGGTCATGTGATCCCCTTTTGCAACCTTTTGACAAGCAAAGTCAATGGCAGGGCTGCTGGTGGCCAAGTGCTAAGGCGGGACTTCCCTCCCTCCCTCCTTTCCTGCCTCCCTCTTTCTCATGCCCACCTCCTTCTGAAGGAAGAATTTGAAACACCCCCCCCCTATTTTCTCTCTTCCATATATTCATCAAACAAGGAAAGGCCTCCAGAGACAGAAAAGACAAACTGCTGAGTGAGCTAGCTTAAAAAGGCACATTCCCCTTTAAGAATTAACTATTGGCTAGAAAGGAAAGCGCAGCCGGCACTTAAGGAAGAAAAAAAAATGTAAGTATTGGCTGCCTGCTAAGGCAGCCTCCCCAAATGGCTCCATTCATAAGTAAAGGAATGCTACAGGCAAAATCCATTCAGGAGAAAAATACTTCAAAATCCCTTGCAGCAAAACTTACAGCTAACAATAGCAGAGCAATAGAAGCTAACACAAGACATCAGCCGTCAGCCAAATAGAAATTGCCAAACACTCCTTAAGAACCCAAAGCCCACATTGCACAAATCCCAGAACTTCAACGTCACAAAAGCACATAAGAATCCTTCCATTCTCCATCTCCCTCCCTGCCTCACCTCCAGCCAATGCTGCCTTTCTTCATTCCTCTTGGAGGATGACCCCTTGCTCACTGCATTTCTTACCTGTTTGCTGCTGCCAGCACAGGTTGCTGCCACAGCAGTTGTAGATCGGCTCATGGCTGGCCTGCTTGATCTCCTCTCCTCACCTCTCCCCCCACCCTCCTCCTTTTTCTTCTTCTTTCCCTTTGGTGCAGCTAGAGCTAACTCCGCCTCCTCCCAAGGCTGTTGCTTTTTCTCTCCCCCCCCCAAACTGCCTCCTTTTATAACCTCTTCTGTCTCCGCCCCCCTCCTCCTTTCTCATGGGGGAGGGTGAGCCAGAAGTGAGCCTGGGGCCTTTGCCTCGCCCCAGCCACTCTGCAGCTCCAGTGGACTCTCTCACAGTAAGTCCTTGCCTGCGCTGGCTCTTTTCCTCCCCCACTACACTTGGCTAGGCAGGGCTGCGTACCACCTGCCACTCGTTAATGTACCACAAGTGGTACGCGTACCACCGGTTGAAAAGCCCTGGACTAACTGACCATAATTGAGCTTGGCAATTAAAGTCATAAGCCGTGGTGATCTTTTTCGTTTTACAAATTTTACCAGTTTACCAAAATATAAAATACAAAGGAAAATAAAAAGTAATGGAAAACTTAGAGGAAGGAAAAAGGGAAGAAGAGAAGATGTGGGGTAGGAAGGGAAAAAAAGAACAAAGGAAAGCGTTAACTTCTAAGTTTTTTTTAGCACAGTCGAGCCCAGGATTTTCGTTGCTAAGCAAGACAATTCTTAAATGAATTTTAATGTAAGGAAAACAGCCTAGTTTAAAATACTAAAAAAACGAAAGAGATCATTGTCGATTTCAGAAAAGGCAGGCACAGCCACACTTCTCTGTGCATTAATGATTCACCTGTGGAGATGGTTACCAGCATCAAATTCCTGGGTGTGTAGCTAACGAGTAGGCTGGCTTGGTCGCTCAACAGCGAGACACTGGTGAAGCGGGCACAGCAGCGCCTGCATTTCCTACATCGCATGAGAAAAGCACATCTTCCTTCTTCTATCCTTACCACTTTCTACAGGGGGACAATCAAGAGCATCCTGTCATACGGCATCACCGTCTGGTTTGGAAGCATCACTGCTTCAGACATGAAGGCAGTGCAGAGAGTGGTGAGGACGGCAGAAAAGATCATTGGCTGTTCCCTCCCTCCCATCCAGGACATGCCATATAAACGCTGCTTGAGGATGGTCCACAAGATTGTCTGGCACACGACACATCCGCTTCACAACCTCTTTCCCTTGTTACCTTCTGGGAGGAGGGGGCTCCGTGGTATCCGAAACAGAACGTCCAGTTTCAGTCCCAGTTTTGTCCCATACAGTATTAACCTTGTAAACTCTAAAGCTTCCTCCTTCCATTATGTATTCAAGATGGACAGTGATTAGTATTTATATGTTGCTTATATGTAAGAGTGTAGGTCTATACATATGTTGTATATAGTACTGTATGTTTTAAATGTGTGTTATGTATGTGTACCCTTTGAGAGGAAGCAACTAAATTTCATTTTTAATGTGTGCCATTGTGCCCACAGGAAAAAAAATGACAATAAAGGTTAATCTAATCTAATCTATCCAATCTAATTTTGACCCATTTTACAACCTTTCTTGCCACTGTTGTTAAGTGAATCCCTGCAGTTAAGTTAGTAGCACAGTTGTTAAGTGGCTTCCCCCTTGACTTTGCTTGGCAGAAGTTCACAAAAGGGGATCACTTGATCCCCAGGGCACGGCAACCATCCTAAATACTTGCCAGTATTCAAGATGGACAGTGATTAATATTTATATGTATTTATATGTAAGGGTGTAGGTATATACATATGTTGTATATAGCCTGTTTATATATGTGTTCGTATGTGTACACTTTTGAGAGCAGGCAACAGAAATTCATTTCTAATGTGTGCCAGTGTGCCCGCAGTAAAAAAATGTCAATAAAGTCATCTTATCTTATCAGTTGCCAACCATCTGAATTTGCCATGGGGACACTGCAGTGGCCGTAAGTGTGAAAAAGAGTCGTAAGTCAGTGCCATTGTAACTTGGAACTAAACCAATGGTTGTAAGTCGAGGGTTACCTGAATGTCTGTGAAGATTCTCAATCATCTAAGTCAGGGGTAGGCAACCTTGGCTCTTTTATGACTCGTGGACTTCAACTCCCAGAATTCCTGAGCCAGCCATGCTGAGGGGACAGGGAGAGGTTTCCATGCTGGCTCAGGAATTCTGGGAGTTGACGTCCACGAGTCATAAAAGAGCCAAGGTTGCCTACCCTTATCCTCGGATGAAGATTAAGAGCAGGGGTCTTCAAACTTGCCCCTTTTCTGACTCGTGGACTTCAACTCCCAGAATTCCTGAGCCAGCCATGCTGAGGGGAAAGGGAGAGGTTTCCAAGCTGAGCCATGCTGGCTCAGGAATTCTGGGAGTTGAAGTCCACGAGTCATAAAAGAGCCAAGGTTGCCTACCCCTGATCCAAGTCGTAGTTATGCTTTTTCACGAGGCAACTAGACTTTCTTGTTTTTTTTGTTTGTTTTTTGAAGCAATTTCACTTTTCATCCAAAAAGCTTCTTCAGCCTCAAGGATTACCTGTATGCTCCTATATACTGTGTTGCTGATTTGCGAGTTCCCAATTGCCAGAACTGAATCAGTGTTTCTCTGTCTTGTTGCTCAGAACAGTGAGATGCCCTTTGAAGAGCTGCTGGCCCTGTACGGCTATGAGGCTTCGGACGCCATCTCTGAGCAGGAGAGCGAGAGCAATGATGCTACTACGCCCAACCTTCCAGACATGACCCTGGATAAGGTAGGGGATGATCCAAACTGCCTTGCCCAAGTTGAGATGTATGTGTGTAAGGATTCGATGCTCCTGGGTTTTTATTTTCTATTTTCATTTCTATCCCGTTTTATTATTTTTACAAATAACTCAAAATGGCAGACATATCCACCAGACGTCCCTCCTCCTATTTCCCCTCCTCCCCCAACAACAACCCTGTGTAGCAAGTTGGCTTGAAAGAGGGTGACTGGCCCACAGTCACCCAGCTGGCTTTCATGGCTAAGGTGGGTCTAGAACTCACCATCTCCTGGTGATTGACCCAAAGTCACCCAGCTGGTTTTCATGGCTAAGGTGGGACTAGAACTCACCGTCTCCTGATAATTGGCCCAAAGTCACCCAGTCAGTTTTCATGGCTAAGGCAGGACTAGAACTCACCATCTCCTGGTGATTGACCCAAAGTCACCCAGTTGGCTTTCATGGCTAAGGTGGGACTAGAACTCACCGTCTCCTGGTGATTGATCCAAAGTCACCCAGTCAGCTTTCATGGCTAAGGTGGGACTAGAATTCACCTTCTCCTGGTGATTGACCCAAAGTCACCCAGCTGGTTTTCATGGCTAAGGTGGGAATAGAACTCACCGTCTCCTGATAATTGGCCCAAAGTCACCCAGCTGGGTTCATGGCTAAGGTAGGTCTAGAACTCACCATCTCCTGGTGATTGACCCAAAATCATCCAGCTGGCTTTCATGCCTAAGGTGGGACTAGAACTCACCGTCTCCTGATAATTGGCCCAAAGTCACCCAGTCAGCTTTCATGGTTAAGGTGGGACTAGAATTCACTGTCTTCTGATAATTGGCCCAAAGTCATCCAGTCAGCTTTCATGGCTAAGGTAGGTCTAGAACTCACCGTCTCCTGGTGATTGACCCAAAGTCACCCAGCTGGCTTTAATGCCTAAGGTGGGATTAGAACTCACCGTCTCCAGGTTTCTATCCTGGTGCCTTAACCACTAGACCAAACTGACTCCCTTTTCCTTTACAGCTATCCTAAACGTACATTAACTGAACACAATTGCTGTGGTGACGTGACACGCAGCGCCCAAAGTCATCAACCATAGATGGCTTAATCTCATAGCTGCTTCCCACAATACACTGAACTGCCAACTATTTAAAGTCAGTTTAGCTTAGGCTAGCATGTTAGTCCAGCCCACCAACACCTCACCGAATGTTATGAACTTCCAGGGTCATCTTGTCTGTCTTTTGACCTCCTTGAGTCTATCACTGTTCATAAGACAAGCTGATTTTTTTTCAGTTATTTCATAAAGAGAAGACTTTTTGCACGGGTTGCTAGCTGATACTTTCTCCCCGGAGATGCCAAGAAAAAAAACTGGGATTTGCTGCACTCGGAAGCCTGTGCTCCCAATTGTGGAGAGGAGTCTCTACTTTTTGTAGGCGAGGCTAAAACATACGAAGAACGGCTGCGGGACTTGGGTTTGGCTAGTTTAAAGAAAAGAAGAAAGAGGGAGACATGATAGCAGTGTTCCAGTATCTGAGGGGCTGCCACAAGACAGAGGGGGTCAAATTATTCTCCAAAGCACCAGAGGGAAGGACAAGAAACAATGGTTGGAAACTGATCAAAGAGAGAAGCAACCTGGAATTAAGGAGAAACTTCCTGACAGTGAGGACAATCAACCAGTGGAACAACCTGCCTCCAGAAATCATGGGCGCTCCATCACTGGAGGTTTTTAAGAAGAGACTGGACAATCACCTGTCTGAGATGGTATAGGTTCTCCTGCTTGAGCAGGGGGCTGGACTAGAAGACCTCCAAGGTCCCTTCCAGCTCTATTCTATTATATTCTATTCTTACATATTCCTTAGCAGTTTTGAATAACTTGCCGAATCGACAAAAAAAAGCTTCTACTTTATCATTATTATTATTCTGGTTCATCGCACAGTCAGCCAGATGTTCAAACAGGATTTGACATTTTTTGCGCACCTATTGAGTCCTCTGCAAGGACCTGGGATAGGCAGATGTGGGTGTTTGATGGTCTTAAAGGTCTGGTTGCAGGATGTCAGCTGTTCTACGTCAAGCTGGCTTGTGCAGTTGACTGATGGGGAATTTGTCTGTGCCGATGGTTTCCAAGTGGTGCTCCAGATATTTTGGGATTGCACCCGAAGAACCTATGACCGTTGGTCCTGCCTTTGCTTCCTTTTGCCACAGTCACTCTATTTCTGTTTGCCAAGTCTTTGTATTTTGTGATCTTCTGCAGTTTTTCTCTTCTTTTCTGCTGTCTCCCGGTACTGCCACATCCACTATCCAGACTTTTGGGTCTTTCTTATTGACAGTTGATAAGTCTGGGGCAGGGGTAGGCAACCTTGGCTCTTTTATGACTCGTGGACTTCAACTCCCAGAATTCCTGAGCCAGCCTGGCTCAGCTTGGAAACCTCTCCCTGTCCCCTCAGCATGGCTGGCTCAGGAATTCTGGGAGTTGAAGTCCACGAGTCATAAAAGAGCCAAGGTTGCCTAGCCCTGGGGTGTTATGCGGCAGGTGACTATCAGTTGAATTCTAAAGTCCTAAAGCACTTTTAGCTTTTTCATTTTTCTATTATTTTCTCTATTTTACAGTCTCACGAGTTCTTGCTCGCAGGCAAATAGTATTTCTTGCAGATCTTCCAGTGCGCCATTGTTGCTTCTTTGTCATGCTGTTGTTTGTAGTCAGTTATTTATTATGTACTAGGTTTAGATTTATTATTACATACTGGAATTAGAGCAGTGTTTCCCAATCTTGGCAACTTTAAAATGTGCAGACTTTTAATACCCCAACCATGGCTGGCTGGGGAATTCTGGGAGTTGAAGTACATGCATCTTAAAAATTACTAAGATCGAGAAACACTGATTTAGAGGCTGGGCAACTTCAGCATACGTCTGGGTGGCCTGCACACACAAAAAAAGAAAAAATATTGCAAGGAAGAATCTCTGTACCAAAATGACCACACACTATATTTAATAACACCCTACTCCACGGATTGAGAGAAAGGTCAAATTTTTAAAGACATTAAGGTGGAAGCTATAAAGATCTCTGGGGAAATAACATTCCAGAAGCACGTGCCACCACCAACAAGGTATGCCTTCAGAGGGCATTATTTGAGGAGAGCCAAAGGATACCAGTTCTGCCTGATTTTACTACACTTGTTCAGTCAACAGAATTGTTTGGCCAAATCCTCCATCACCAAATGTATGGTTTCTTCCTACACACAGGAAATTCAGAGAGGCAAATTTCTCAAAGCTGGACTCCTTGACGTGTTTTTAGGTGCAGGAAGCTGTATCTGCTGAATGGTAATCAAATAATCATCATGGTCACCACGATGTAAAAAAAGATGTTGAGACTCTAGAAAGAGTACAGAGAAGAGCAACAAAGATGATCAGGGGACTGAAGTCTAAAACATACGAAGAACGGTTGCAGGAGTTCGGTATGTCTAGTTTAATGAAGAGAAGGACGAGGGGGTACATGATAGTAGTCTTCCAATATCTCAGGGGAGGCCCCAAAGAAGAGGGAGTCAAGCTATTCTCCAAAGCGCCTGAAGGCAGGACAAGAAGTAATAGATGGAAAATAATCAAGGAGAGAAGCAACCTAGAACTAAGGAGAAATTTCCTGACAGTGAGGACACTTAATCAATGGAACAACCTGTCTCCAGAAGCTGTAAATGCTCCACCACTGGAAGTTTTTAAGAAGAGACTGGACAGCTATTTGTCTGAAATGGTATAGGGCAGGGGTCTTCAAACTTGGCCCTTTTATGACTTGTGGACTTCAACTCCCAGAATTCCTCAGCCAGGCATGCTGGCTGAAGAATTCTGGGAGTTGAAGTCCACAAGTCGTAAAAGGGCCAAGTTTGAAGACCCCTGGTATAGGGTTTCCTGCCTGAGCAGGGGGTTGGACTAGATGACGTCCAAGGTCCCTTCCAACTTTATTATTATTATTATTATTATTATTATTATTATTATTATTATTATTATTATTATTATTATTAATAATAATAATAATAATCCACCAATATAAGAGAATATTTGTAGCTCAAGATTGTGTTTATATACAGTGGCTTGCCATTCTTCAATCAGACCAGCAATCAAACAGTAAACAACAGCCCAATCAAGGAACTGTCAAAAACGCTTCTACCAACACTGACAGTACAAGGCACTGGTGTATAAACAGAAAGCAAAGCCCATTCCTCTCCTAGCACTGAAGGTGTTACCTAGTTGGGTCATGAAATGTCTGCAAGAAAACAACCAAACTCAGAGAGCACCAAGAGCTGCACAATATACACTTTTTAATTTTTGTTGTGGAATAGATTCACCTGGAAACTTGTTTGATCACTGGATTCTGATGATTGGATTAATGCGCCCTTTGTTCTTAATCAGGAATGTAATTGTTCGTCTTGCAACTGGACATTTATCATAGCTCCTTTTCTTAGCCTCATCTCCCTATGGCCAGACTTCTAGGTGTTTCTTTTTACACCAATGTTTTTCAGCCTCAGCCAGTTGAAGATGTGTGGACTTCAACTCCCAGAATTCCCCAGCCAGCATTGAGAAACACTGTTAATAAAGCTGCCTGGTCAACTGCAATAAAGCTTACTTGCAGTTGTCTAGAGAGCAGTCCAAACAGCCTGTTTGTTCCCTTAAAGATCGCTGCCCTTTAAACTTCAAATTTCAGAAAGTTGAATACAAGAAATGGGATTCATAAAATGGAATAGGTGGGAAAAGAGAATTGTTGACAGCCTTCATTAAGCCTGATTATGTGAAAGAGAGGCTGCTCTAGACCAGGGCTTTTCAACCTTTTCACCCATTGTACCACTTTTAGGATATGGCAACATCCGAGGACCACCAGTCGCCTAGCAAGGTGTCAAAAACTTGATGACCAAAAAAAAAAAAAAAGGAAAAAAGTGATAAAGTACAGGTAGTCCTCGACTTACAACAGTTCGCTTAGTGACTGTTCGAAGTTACAATGGCACTGAAAAAAGTGCCCCCCCCAAGCCACAGCCGAGCAAGACACCTGCCTGCCCGCCCGGCGACGCTCTTCCTCCTGTCCGAGGTTTTCATTGTTGTGAGCATTTTATTTATTTATTATTTGAATTTATATCCCGCCCTTCTCCTTGCGGACTCAGGGCGGCTGACAATCAATTAAAAACACCACTAACAATCACAAGTTAAAATTAATTAAAATGAAATATTTAAATTGTCTAATTAAAAAGTAATTAAAAACCCTCTAAAAAACCCCTCTTAAAAATTATCCTAGGCCAGTCCCGCTTGTTGGAACAGCCATGTCTTGAGGGCGCGGCGGAAGGATTGGCAGCGGAAGTGGGGTGGGGGGGTGTTTGGTTTTTATTCCCCCCCCCCCGTCTGCTGGGTGGTTGCAGCAGGTTTTGGTCACTTTACATGACCCTGGGACACTTTGACCGTCATAAATATGAATCAGTTGCCAAGCATCTAAATGTAAATCACAAGACCCTGGAGATGCTGCAACATTCCAGCTGATTGGTGCTTCTTCTGGGCTCAGCAGAAGCACCAGGATCAGCGCAGAGCTCCAGCTGGAGCCTGGCGCTGATCCTGGCGCTTCCGCTGAGCCCTGACAGCCCTGCAGCTCCAGCCGTCTCTCGCTCAGGCTTGTGCGGTGCTGCCACCGGTTCAGCTCATTCCCCTCCCCCGCTACCACTTTTCTAGGATGGTCACGTACCACCTGCCAGGTGCCAATGTACCACAGGTGGTACCCGTACCGCTGGTTGAAAAGCCTTGATCTAGATCAAGTGGAATCAGAGGAGAGGTGTTTCCTAGTAAGCCCAATCGTTTCTCCCACTCTTCCCAAACTTTGCTAACAGGGAGGAAAAAGAATACGCTGGAAATTCTGCCAACCGTTTTTTGGGAACATGATTTCACCGCTGCCTGCCTTTTATGTCTCTCAGCCCCCTGAACGAAAAAGCAAGTAAAACGATTTGGGCATCTGGCCGCCGAAAAAAAATAATAAATTCCAGTTGTCCCAGTCTTAAGTGGAAGATGCTTCATCTCGTATGCAAAATTGTAAAGAGGATTGTCCCCCCCCCCTACAGGGGGACGATGGAGAGCATCCTGTCACACAGCATCACAGTCTGGTTTGGAGGCATCCCTGCTTCGGACAGGAAGGCGGTGCAGAGAGTGGTGAGGACGGCAGAAAAGATCATTGGCAGTTCCCTCCCTCCCATCCAGGATATAGCACAGAAGCGTTGCTTGAGCAGGGTCCGCAAGATTGTCTGGGACACTACACATCCTCTTCACGACCTGTTTTCCTTGTTCCCTTCTGGGAGGAGGGGGCTCCGTGGTATCCGTAGCAGAACATCCAGATTCAGCCATAGTTTCATTCCTTACAGCATTAATCTTGTGAATTCTCAAGCTTCCTCCTTCCGTTATATATTCAAGATGGACAGTATTTAATATTTATTTGCTATGTATATGTAGGGGTGTGGGTCTATACATATGTTGTTCATTCATAGTATGTTTAGGTGTGTGTCATGTATGTGTTTCACTTTGAGAGCGGGCAACTAAATTTCATTTTTGATGTGTGCCGTTGTGCCCACAGTAAAAAAAATGACAATAAAGGTTATCTTATCTTGCCACGGAAATAACATTTTTGTGTGTGTGTGTTTTTTATCCTCCCTTTCCATCAGAGGTCCAGGAGAGCGGAAACAACCTAGTGTAGTCAAGACACAAATTTCAGTCACACTGGAACAGTTAGATCAGGGCTTTTCAACCAGTGGTACGGGTACCACCTGTGGTACATTGGCAACTGGCAGGTGGTACGCGACCATCCTAGAAAAGTGGTAGCGGGGGAGGGGAATGAGCTGAACCGGTGGCAGCACCGCACAAACCTGAGGCTGGAGCTGCAGGGCTGTCAGGGCTCAGCAGAAGCACCAGGATCAGTGCCGCTTTCCAGCTGATCGGCGCTTCTTCGGGGCTGTCAGGGCTCAGTGGAAGCACCAGGATCAGTGCCAGGATCCAACTGGAGCTCGGCGCTGATCCTGGTGCTTCTGCTGAGCCCAGAAGAAGCGCCGATCAGCTGGAATGTTGCAGCATCTCCAGGGTCTTGTGATTTACATTCAGATGCTTGGCAACCGATTCATATTTATGACGGTCACAGTGTCCCAGGGTCATGTAAAGTGACCAAAACCTACCTGCCAATCCTCAACAGAAATGCTCACAACAGTGAAAACCTCAGAGAGGAGGAAAAGCGTGGCCAGGTGGGCAGGCAGGTGTCTTGCTCGGCTGTGGCTTGGGGGGCACTTTTTTTAGTGCCATTGTAACTTCGAACAGTCACTAAGCGAACTGTTGTAAATCGAGGACTACCTGTACTTTATCATTTTTTTCCTTTTGGGGGAGGTCATCAGGTTTTTGACCCCTTGCTAGGCGACTGGTGGTACTCGGATATTGCCATATCCTAAAAGTGGTACAATGGGTGAAAAGTTTGAAAAACCCTGAGTTAGATAACCCAATCTTTGACTCTACTTAATCTTGTCTTTTTCTTTTCTTTTTTTTTATGTCCTCTTTTTTTCTGATTGTTGAATGAAGGAGCAGATAGCAAAGGACCTGCTTTCTGGAGAAGAAGAGGAAGAGACGCAGTCTTCGGCAGATGACCTGACCCCTTCGGTCACTTCTCACGATGCCTCAGACCTTTTCCCCAATCAGACCGGCTGTAAGTTTGATTTTGAGCATCTCTAGGACTTCCAGAGTCAGGCAAACAGGAAGAAGGGATTGTTCAGCTCTTTGTGGCTACACCAGGCTGCAGTTTGGTGTCTGCAGCACCTCAATAAGAGGTTGTCCACAGCCTGCTTCTTCACACAGATAGTCCTCACCTTACCACCATTGCTTTAGCGACGGTTCAAGGTTAGAGCAGCATTGGAAAAAAAAGTGATTTACAACCGGTTCTCACGTTCATGTTCACTGCAGCATCCCCAAGGTCAGGTGATCAAAATTCGGCGCATGTATTTATGAGAGTTATAGCAGCATCCCGGGGACAGGTGATCGCCATTTGCAACTTTCCCTGCCGGCTTCCCTTGAGCAAAGTCAATGGGGGAAGTTGGCCTAGCTGAATGACTCTGTGATTCACTTAACGACTGCAGTAATTCAGTGATCTGCCAAATTTTGTGGTCACCAGTCGAGGCCTTATTCATACAACTCATTTAACAGGCTCAAAGATTGTTCCGCTAGTGCAGAGGTCTTCAAACGTGGCCACTTTAAGACTTGTGGACTTCAACTCCCAGAATTCCTCAGCCAGCCCTGAGGGCTGGCTGAGGAATTCTGGGAGTTGAAGTCCACAAGTCTTAGTGGCCAAGTTTGAAGACCCCTGCGCTAGTCTGTCAGGAGAACAGGAGAACCCAGTCAGTATTTGTGTGGGGGGGGTGTCATCTCCAGAACACAGGTGGAGCAGGAGCTTCTTTGAACACACAAAGGCCAGATTCAAGACAGACGTTGGATTCACACACCTCACTAAGCTTCCTATTTTCCCCACAACCACAATCCTGTGAGGCGAGTTGAGCTGAGAGCGAGTGAGAGACTGGCCCAAGATCACCCAGCCAGCTTTCAGGCCTAAGATGGGACTATAACTCCCAGTCTCCCAGTGGTTGATCCAAAGTCACCCAATCAGTTTTCTTGCCCAAAGCGGGACTAGGATTCGTGGTCTTCCACTTTCTCCCACTAGACCAGGGCAATCTTGGCTCTTTTATGACTCGTGGACTTCAACTCCCAGAATTCCTGAGCCAGCCACGCTGAGGGGAAAGGGAGAGGTTTCCAAGCTGAGCCATGCTGGCTCAGGAATTCTGGGAGTTGAAGTCCACGAGTCATAAAAGAGCCAAGGTTGCCTACCCCTGGTCTAAACTAATCAAGGTCAAAGCAAAGTGGTGGCAGATAAGGGTCAAGGTTGCCTACCCATGCTATAGATCAAACTAGTTTGTCCTTGATTTACCACTATACCTGAGCCCAGAATGACAGTCATAAGTCCTAGTGGTCGTTAAATGGATCATCATGTGACCGTGCCTGTTTTTACAACTCTTTTTACAGCGGTCGTTAAGCAAATGCCGCAGTCATTAAGCCCACCTGTTTTCCCCACCTCCCGTGGTCATTTCCCCCCCCCTCAGAAACCAGAAGGAGCAAATCCCATAAAAAAAACATAGTCATGTGGCTCTAGGATGCTGCAAATATTTATAAATGTAAACCGGTTGCAGAACACCCAAAATGCGAACACGCGACTGCAGGGGCCATCAGAAGTTCAAAAACAGATTGTAAATTCTGGGGGGGAGGGGGTCCGTTGTAATTTCAAATGGTTTCTAAGTGACTGGTCATTAAGTGAGGACTGCCTGTGCAAACATATATGTATATGTTTTATGCCGCCAGCCGCCCACAGTCCTCTTGTTACCAGATGGGCAGCAAATAAATTTAATAAAAAATAACACGCCTATAAATGTACATGTGCTTATTCTAATATTCTAAGCTGCCCAGCATCATGTAGTTGGAATGGGCAGTTTTATAAATAGATCAGATCAATAAATCAATAAAAATAACAATCTAATTGTTAGTGGTGGTAGATTTAGATAAATAACGATAAATTAACTAGGTGTCTTCAATTCAGGCCCAACTCTTGGCAACGTTATGGACAATGATTTCCATCTTCCCCTCTCCGCAGCGATGATCCACAATTCTTCTGAAGACATTTTATTTATTGACTTGCCCTTCTTTCTCCTTCATTCAAACCTGCTAATCACAGCTGTAATTTTCTAGTCCATCCAATATCTAAGGAGCTACCACAAAGAAGCGGGGGGGGGGGGGGGTTGTCAACCTATTCTCCAAAACTCCTGAAGGCAGGACAAGAAGCAACGGATGGAAACTAATCAAAGAGAGAAGCAACCTAGAACTAAGGAGAAATTTCCTGACAGTGAGAACAATTAATCAGTGGAACAACCTGCCTCCAGAAGTTGTGGGTGTAATGACTAGTTTAATAAAGAGAAGGACGAGGGGTGACATGATAGCCGTGTTCCAATATCTCAGGGGTTGCCACAAAGAGGAGGGAGTCAAGCTATTCTCCAAAGCCTCTGAAGGCAGGACAACGGATAGAAACTAATCAAGAAAAGCAACCTAGAACTAAGGAGAAATTGACAGAATAATTAACCAGTGGAACAACTTGCCTCCAGAAGTTGTGGGTGCTCCAACATTGGAGGTTTTCAAGAAGAGACTGGACAGCCATTTGTTCTGAAATGGTGTAGGGTTTCCTGCCTGAGCAGGGGGTTGGACTAGATGTAATATTATTATAATAATACAGTTGGAAGGGACCTTGGAGGTCTTCTAGTCCAACCCCCTGCACAGGCAGGAAACCCTATTCCAGGGATAGGCAACCTTGGCTCTTTTTATGACTCGTGGACTTCAACTCCCAGAATTCCTGAGCCAGCATGGCTCAGCTTGGAAACCTCTCCCTGTCGCCTCAGCATGGCTGGCTCAGGAATTCTGGGAGTTGAAGTCCACGAGTCATAAAAGAGCCAAGGTTGCCTACCCCTGGTGTAGGGCTTCCTGCCTAAGCAGGGGGTTGGACTAGAAGACCTCCAAGGCCCCTTCCAACTCTTTTTTTTATTATTTTATGGTCTGTTCGCATCACATGTCCAAAATATGTGAGATTCTACTTGCTAATAAATCACCTCAGGGTCGCCTTTATTTCCTCTTGCCCCAATTGATTGACTCTTCCTGAAGTCCACGGTAACTTAGTAACCATCTCCAGATCCATAACTCAGAGGTGCCTGTCTCCTTCCTCTAATTCTTTCTTAATGTCCAGCTTTCGCGGCCAAGCGTTACTCCTAGGAAGACCATCGCTTTAACTCTTCTGATCCTGGTTGTCATAGAAATATCCTCACCCTTCATGATCTTACCTAAATTAGCCACTTCCTTCTTTCCTGGGATTAATCATCTCTCCTGCTCCAGCAGGCCTCCAGTTTCCTTTCTACGTCAGCCCGAGAAAACAAATCCGTCCGCCACTTTTTAACTTTTTTTTCTTTTCTTTCAGTTGTGATTTTTTTTTTTTAACTTGAAAATTTTATACGTTATATAACACAAACCCTGGACAGTTTCACAAATAACACAAGTAATACAAAATGCAAGAATTAGAACCCAACGCTCCATTTAAGGTGCTTTTTCAAGAGGCAACTGGACTTCCTTTGTTTTTTCCTTGAAGATGTTTCGCTTCCTATCCGTATTTATCCATATTTATCACAGTTGCCCTGTCCGGAGGTTGTGTGATTCCCTCTTGGCAACCGTCTCAGCTAGCTTCCAACAAGCAAAATCAATGGGGGAAGCCAAGTTTGCTTAGTGGCCACACAATTCCCTTAATAACTGCAGTGATTTGCTTAGCAATTACGGCAAAGAGGTCATAAAATGGGCCCAAACACCCTTAACAACTGCCTTGCTTAGCAGCGGAAGGTTTGGCCTCCATTTTGATTGTAAGCTGAGGACTATCTGTATTATGGAGCAACTGTGTGAGTGGGCGAACATTCACACATCTTGCTTAAGGGTTTCCTTGGATGTGGTTTGACTAGTACAGAGAAGAGCAACAAAGATGATCAGGGGACTGGAGGGTAAAACACATAAAGAACAGTTGCTGGAATTGGGTATGTCTAGTTTAATGAAAAGAAGGACGAGGGGGGACAGGATAGCAGTGTTCCAATATCTCAGGGGCTGCCCCAAAGAAGAGGGAGTCAAGCTATTCTCCAAAGCGCCTGAAGGCAGGACAAGAAGCAACGGGTGGAAACTAATCAAGGAGAGAAGCAACCTGGAACTAAGGAGAAACTTCCTGACAGTTAGAACAATTAATCAGTGGAACAACCTGCCTCTAGAAGCCGTGAATGCTCCAACACTGGAGGTTTTTAAGAAGAGACTGGACAGCTATTTGTCTGAAATGGTATAGGGCAGTGATGGTGAACCTTTTAGAGACCGAGTGCCCAAACTACAACCCAAAACCCATTTATGTATCGTCGAGTGCCGGGTGGATATGGCCATTGGGTGGGTGTAGCCCATTGGGTGGGCATGGCTGCAGTGGTAACGGCAGACTGGGTGGGACTAAAAAGTTCAATCAATCAATTCCAACTTTGCAAGATCTTTTTTTCCCACGAGAAGTTGAAATTGACTGATTGAACCTTTTTTTTTTTTTTTTGCACATGGCGGCGGAGGTCTAAAGCGAAAAGGTTTTATAAAACCCAGCTGAAGGCCTAGGACTGGGGCGACAGTGCGCATGCCCACAGAGAGGGCTCTGAGTGCCGCCCCTGGCACCCATGCCATAGGTTCACCACCACTGGTATAGGGTTTCCTGCCTGAGCAGGGGGTTGGACTAGATGACCTCCAAGGTCCCTTCCAACTTTATTATTATTATTATTATTATTATTATTATTATTATTATTATTATTATTATTTGCTGCAACAGGGGACAATTCATGGGCTCTTGGGTCTTAAAAGTGTGCTTAGAAATAGATACACGTAGTCCTTGACTTACGACCACAGTTGAGCCCAAAATTTCTGTTGCTCTAATGAAACATTTGTTAAGCGAATTTTGCTCCATTTTACGACCTTTCTTGCCGCAATTGTTAAGTGAATCGCTGTAGTTGTTAAGTTAGTAACACGGTTGTTAAGTGAATCCGGCTTCCCCATTGACTTTGCTTGTCAGAAGGTCGCAAAAGGGGGATCACCTGTCCCCGGGAGATTGCGACCGTCATAAGTAGGAGCCATTTGTCAAGCAGTTGAATTTTGATCCTGTGACCATGGGGATGCTGCAATAGTTCTAACTGTGAAAAATGGGTTTTTTCAGCCCTTTTTTCAGCACCGTTGTAATTTTGAACGGTCACTAAATGAATGGTTGTAAGTTGAGAACTTACCTGTACTTTGAGAGAAAAGGCCCGTAATATGCAGGCTTCAAATCAAATGCTCCTGCAGATGTTTAATGGATGACACATCATGGAAAGAACGTCATCCAGATGCAGAACACTTAAAGAGAAACTGCACTGACAAGATAATACACCTGTGAAGTTAGTGAAAATGTTTAAAAATATGTCTAGCAATTGTTGGAAATGTAGACAAAAACCAGGCACATACTATCATCTTCGGTGGACGTGCCCTAAAGCCAAAAAGATTTTGGTCAAGAATACATATATGGTTAGAGAAAATGACTAAAAGACACACAGATTTTAAACCAGAATTATTTTTGTTAGGTATAATTGTAGGAAATTATGAGAAGAAATGTGTATATTTAATTTTACATGTATTAACTGCAGCGAGAACTGTATTTGCTCAAGGTTGGAAGGATGAAGAATTACCAGCGGAAGAAGCGATAATTAAGAAAATTTTAGATTGTGCAGAAATGGACAGACCGACCCTAAAAATGAAAGAGAAAGAAGATTCAAATTATTTTAGAACATGGAATACATTTTATCTAGAAAAACGAGGTAGAGAGAAAGGAGTTTAACATGTATTAGTAAACTAAACATTGGAACCCAGACAATATATTGCTGATAAAATATTAAGGATTTGTGACTATAAAAAATTAATAAAATATTTTAAAAAAAGAGATAATACAGCTGGTTTTCTCACCTTTCCTAAATGAGTGTTGGACCATTTTGTCAAGGAATATCCATCCAGCGTGCCAGTTGGGATTGATGGGAATTGTAGTCCAAAACTACAGTGTGCAAATTTGAGGTTGAGGAAGCTTTAAAAGAGGGGTGCATACTGTTTTTTTATAAAAGCAAAATGGTGAATGCTTTGGACATTTACTTCTTCGTCCGTCTTTTTATAGTGTTTATTCAATATATTTCTATATATAGAATATTGTGTATTCTATGTATGTTCTATATTCTATGTCCACATAGGACATAGCTGAAAATACTACAGCTGCTTACAATTTTGTATGTGTGCGTGCGTGTATGTGTGTGTGTGTTAGAAATCACCCATTTCCTTTACAGGCGAAATCAGTGCAATCTGCAAGTGAAATATAAAAACATAAAAACTGTATACAAATATACAGTAGTTCGCTATAGCTATAGAGTAGCTATAGAACCATTACAGAATCACTGGTAAAAGAATTGGAAGAAACATCAAATTAAAAACGGACTAAAAACAAGATTAAAAAAAAACAAAGAAAATATCTACCTGAAGAGAGTCGATATTTTCATTTCTAGACAAAATAATTATTCGGTTTGACTCCAAATTGTCCTTATCTGCTTTAGAACAGCTGTTCAGTGTCCTTGGCTTGTTCTCTGCTTTATTGTTGACAGAACCAATTTTAGAAGAAAACGTTGGTAGCTCAGGGTTGAACTGTGAGGTCCTTTGGGGTCTCTGAGCTGGGTTGCTTTTTTTTTTTTTTTGGCAGACGTTTCATAACCCAACTAGGTCATATCATCAGCGCGGGAAGGCTGTAGGACAGTAATGGCGAACCTTTTAGAGACCGAGTGCCCAAACCATAACCCAAAACCCACTTATTTATTGCAAAGTGCCAAGGCCGCATCAGAATTGTGGTGCCTTCATGGGGGCGTGGCCCTCTGGGTGGGCATGGTTGCGGTATTCATGGCAGACTGGGTGGGCGTGGCTGGGGTGGGCATGGCCATCTCGATGTTGCTCATGGGGGGGAAGGTGTGGAGGACGGTCAGGGTTGAGGGAGATCCAGGGGGTCTCTGGCAGGTGGGGCGGTGTGGAGGAGGCTCAGCATAGATGGGGGTGAGGCACGCAATCCTAGCTGGGACTGGGGGGCCATGGCGCCGATGGGGATCCGGCTTTCCCTGCTCAGGGTGGCCTTTGGTTTGCTGGGCGTGGGCGTGCTCTACCACCTCTACTCGAGCTTGCTTGCTAGCTGGCCGCTTTGCCTCCTTTGTGCTGGATGGGGCTGCTGCTCCGGGCGGCGGTGGCGGCCTAATGGACCTGCGCAAGCTGCTGGCAGCAGTGGCACGCGTGCCCACAGAGAGGGCTCTGAGTGCCGCCTCTGGATTTGTAGGATTTGTTCTCAGCTCACATGCTCTCAACAGTCACCACTCTCATCTAGTAACGAAGAGGCTATCTAGTCGAGTCATGAAAAGTCTGCAAAAAAAAAAAAAAAGCAACCAAACTCTCAGACCGCCAAGGCCCCCAGAAAAACATTTTTTTCTCAATTTAAAGCGGAAAGAGTGATGGTTACCTTGTCTTTTTTTTTTTTCTTCCTCCAAGCTAATTTTGTGGCCGATGGAGACAAGGCACCTTGCTCCTCTCCTTGTGCTTCCTTCTCAGCTGAAGACTCCGAAGAAGATTCCATGACGCCCAATGACTGCAAGAAGGTAAGGCTTTGGCATCCCATAATTGTCACCCCTCATTAGCGCAGGTGCCCAGCAAATTCTGCTCTTCCGGCTCAAGACGGCCGCAGAAGATTTAAGGCTCCAGTTCAGGGGTCTTCAAACTTGGCCCTTTTATGACTTGTGGACTTCAACTCCCAGAATTCCTGAGCCAGCCATGCTGAGGGGAAAGGGAGAGGTTTCCAAGCTAAGCCATGCTGGCTCAGGAATTCTGGGAGTTGACGTCCACAGGTCATAAAAGAGCCAAGGTTCCCCACCCCTGCTATAGACCAACTCTACATCCGGTGGAACTACTGGTTTGTACCTTTAGAGCAGGGGTCTTCAAACTTGGCCTTTTTATGACTTGTGGACTTCCACTCCCAGAATTCCTCAGCCAGCATGGGGGAACTATGGCCCCTTCATATACTTGTGGACTTCAACTCCCAGAATTCCTCAGCCAGCGTGCCTGGCTGAGGAATTGTGGGAGTCGAAGTCCACAAGTCATAAAAGGGCCAAGTTTGAAGACCCCTGCTTTAGAGCTAGCTATAAATGTGGGCTGATCTACTTCGCAGCTGCCCAACCAGAGAGAGCAGCTTTTATCTCCACCAGAAGTAAGACATTACTAAATAGTCCTCAACATGCCTGGCTGAGGAATTCTGGGAGTTGAAGTCCACAAGTCATAAAAGGGCCAAGTTTGAAGACGCCTGCTCAAGCTGTTCATGTTTTTAGCAGCCAGCGGAAGTTGGCTTAAGAGGTCCATCTATCTCAGCACTCTATCCAAGGCAGTCCAGTTGCCTCTTGAAAAAGCACCTTTGGGACAAGCATGACCAGGGATGACTGAGAATCTCCATAGACAAATCCTCGACTTGTTACCACAACATTTCTGTCCCTAAGTGACACACTCGTTTAAATGAGCTTTGCCCCGTTTTACGACCTTTCTTGCCACTGTTGTTAAGCGAGTCCCTGCAGTCGTTAAATTAGTGACACGATTGGGAAGGGAACCCTGGTTCTCCCCACTGACTTCGCTTGTCAGAAGGTCGTCAAAGGAGATCGCATGAACCCAGGACACAGGAACCGTCGTCATAAAGACGAGCCACTTGCCAAGCGTCTGACTTTTGATTGTGTGGCTGTGGGGGATACTGCAACGGTCGTGTGAAAAATGGTCCTAAGTCACTTTTTTTTTTCAAGGCTGTTGTAACTTCGAACAGTAAATGAACAATTGTAACCCAAGGACTCCCTGGATGGGAGATGCTCCAGATAGGATGCTGCTGGCTTACAGTAGTGGCCAAAATTGTGGAAACCTTTTGAGAAAAGTGTATTTTTGAGGTTTGATAGCTAATAACACCACTTTTTTGGGGGGGGGGAGTAGTACCATAAAATTATATATCAATGGAAAGATAATTTAATCAAGAATGTAATGCAACACAGTTTGTTCAATTATCTGTACTGTATTCTATGAAAGGTTATAGCCAAATAACCAGAAAAAGGAAGCACAACTTGCTTAGGTTGATATCAGGTGGCTTTCCTTCATCTGATTGTAGCCAATGAGCATGAGTGTTTAGAGAGCCAATCGGGTGTCATCTTGTTTTGGCAATGAGCCAATCAGATCACAGTAGGATTCAGTGATTGATGTCATGTATTGAAGCTGAGAGGAGGACATTTGTCAATCAGGTGTCATCTTCTTTTCGCAATGAGCCAATCAGATTATTGATGTCGTGCTGAGAGGAGGACATTTGTCAGTGTGTTATGTGATCGCTATCAAGTTGGTTGGTTTTTTTTTGTGTTCTTTCATTTAGTGAGCGTATAAAACGTAATAAAATTAAAGCCATGGTGCAAAGAGTTGACTGGTCGCCCAGAAAGCGATGTAAAATAGTATTAGTAAGCGGACAAGACTACAGTTATAAAGAAATTAGAAGAAAAATGGGTGGAAACTTAACCAAAGGTGGCATTTCTACTGTACACTTTTCCCAAAAGGTTTCCACAATTTTGGCCACTACTGTATGCCTTTGGAAATGGAAGAAAATGCTGTGGAATGGGGGACTCAGGAATTGCTTATAAATGGGGCTGGGGGAGGGGGGGATCATGTGGCTCCCTAGACCCATTTCTGAGCCCTCTTCCAATTTCACACTAACAAACCTGGATTGATTTCTGACTGTAAGGTCCCTTCCCCCCCCCAACCCATTTATCATACGCAGGCTTCAACTACAGTAGTTGCAAGTCGAGGGCTACCTGCAGTTTATTAGCTTCCTTGGTCCATTTGGCGTGTTTCTACACCCCCCCCCAGTGCTGTAGTATCTGATGCTTTTATCGCCACTTCATTTAACAACTGCCTTGCTTTGCAACAGAAATTTGGGGCTCAACTGCAGTCGTAAGTTGAGGACCACCTGCAGCATTGAAGCTTCTTAGGCAGAGGTTTCAGTTAAGGCAAAAAGGTATCCCTTTTGCAGACGGAATTTAGCAGCTCACCCCTCAAAGACGTTCGTTCTTCCGCTTATCCTATCCACCCGTTTTCCTTTCCTCCCTTCAGGAGATCATGGTGGGAGCCCAGTACCAGGCCGTTGTCCCTCTCTTACACTTGAACTGGCAGGGCGAAAAAGGTGAGCAGCTTCCCTATGGTGGATCCTTGTCGTTTTAGCCTTTGGCTGTATGTGTGTCTTTGATGTCTCTTCCTAGAACCGTGGTGGCGAACCTGTGGCACGGGTGCCAGAGGCGGCACTCAGAGCCCTCTCTGTGGGCACGCGTGCCGTCGCCCCAGTCCTAGGCCTTCAGCTGGGTTTTATAAAACCTTTTCGCTTTACGCCTCCGCCGCCGTGTGCAAAAAAAAAAAAAGGTTCAATCAATCAATTTCAACTTTTCACGGGGAAAAAAAAAGATCTCGCAAAGTTGGAATTGATTGATTGAACTTTTTAGTCCCACCCAGTCTGCCGTTAGCACCGCAGCCACGCCCACCCAATTATTATTATTATTATTATTATTATTATTATTATTATTATTATTATTATTATTATTATTATTATTATTATTATTATTATTATTATTATTATTATTATTAAAATTTATATACCGCCCTATCTCCCTTACGGGACTCAGGGCGGTGAACAGGCAATAATAAAATCACAATAGATATTCAATAAAAAGCCTGCTCTAAACTCAATGGGCCACGCCCACCCAATGGGCCACACCCACCAGGCACCCGACTATACAGACGTGGGTTTTGGGTTGCAGTTTGGGCACTCGGTCTCTAAAAGGTTCACCATGACTGTACCTAGAAGTTAACCTTCAGGTCCAGGTGCCGTGCAAATCGGGCTGTCCTTGGACAATAGCAGCTGAAGATTTGGGAGTTTTAGGAAAGGAAAGAAATAGCCACTGGGGGGGGGGGGTGGAAAAAAAGTGGAAAAGTGCCGTGTTTGGCAAACAATAAAAAAAAACAAGCCTCGTTGCTTGAACGCTTTGTCTTCTTCTCTCCCAACCTATTGGGGTTTTTCGTTTGAGGTTCTCGCATCAGAGTTAAAGTTCTCCCACAACATTTATCACACAGTTGTGCTGTATGCATCCGGGTCCTAGGACTGTGTTTGCTTGAGCTCAGTTTCCTAGATTCCTTGTCACCGGAATGTAGAAATAGTTTGCTTGTTTGTTTATTTATTTATTTATTTATTTGATGTTTATGCCCTCCTTTTTAACCTTATGAGTCACTCAAGGCAGCAAACATACCAAATACTCCTTCCTCCTCCTGTTTTCCCCACAACAGTTCTGTAAGATGAGTTGGGCTAAGAGAGAATGACTGACCCAAAGTCACCCAGCCGGCTTTCATACCTAAGGCGGGACTAGAACTCACCATCTCCTGGTGATGGGCCCAAAGTCACTGAGCCAGCTTCCATACCAAAGGCGGGATTAGAATTCATAGTCTCCTGGTAATTGATCCAAAATCACCCAGCCAGCTTTCATGCCTGTGGGTGGAACTAGAACTCACTGCATCTTGTGATTGGCCTGACATCACCCACCCGGTTTTCATGCTTAAAGTGGGATTAGAACCCACAACCTCCTGGTTTCCAGGCCAGGACCTTAACCGCTACACTAAACTCTAGATTCAGTCTCTCTCTCCATCTCTCACTCACTCACTCACTCACTTGCTCTTTTTTTTTTTATCTAGTCTATGAAAACGATGACCAGTTGTTGTGGGACCCAAATATCCTCCCGGAGAGGGAGGTGGAGGAATTCCTCTTCCGAGCCATCAAGAGGAGATGGGACGAAGTCTCCAATGCCAGGCTTCCGGAAGGAGAGATCGTGAAGGATAACGAACAAGTGAGTGCTACGGGGCTAACGCTCCCCCATTACCAGTGGGATTACTACTACTACTACTACTACTACTACTACTACTACTACTACTACTAATAATAATAATAATAATAATAATAATAATAATAATAATAATAATAATAATAATAATAGTAAAGTTGGAAGGGATCTTGGAGGTCATCTAGTCCAACCCCATGCTCAAACAGAAAACCCTATACCATTTCGGACAAATGGCTGTCCAGTCTCTTCTTTAAAACTTCCAATTTTGAAGCATTCACCACTTCTGGAGGCAGGTTGTTCCACTGGTTAATTGTTCTCACTGTCAGGAAGTTTCTCCTCAGTTCCAGGTTGCTTCTCTCCTTGATTAGTTTCCATCCGTTGCTTCTTGTCCTGCCTTCAGGCGCTTTGGAGAATAGCTTGACTCCCTCTTCTTTGGGGCAGCCCCTGAGATACTGGAAGACTGCTATCGTGTCCCCCCTCGTCCTTCTCTTCATTAAACTAGACATACCCAATTCCAGCAACCGTTCCTTATATGCTTTAGCCTCCAGTCCCCTAATCATCTTTGTTGCTCTTCTCTGTGCTCTTTCTAGAGTCTCAACATTTTGCTGCAAGGGAAGTGCTTATTATGAGGAAGGCTAATGAATGAGTTAATGTAAAAATTCTGAGGCGGCCTCAAATCTCCCCTCAGCAGAGAAGGATAACTAGGGCAACAAAAAGGTAGATTGTTGTTGTTGTTAGTTACGAAGTCGTGTCCGACCCATCGCGACCCCATGGACGACGTTCCTCCAGGCCTGCCTGTCCTCTGACATCTTCTGGAGTCCATTTAAGCTCATGCCTCCTGCTTCAGTGACTCCATCCAGCCACCTCATCCTCTGTCGTCCCCTTCTTCTATTGCCCTCCATCTTTCCCAGCATTATTAGGCTCTTCTCCAGTGAGTCCTTCCTTCTCGTTAGGTGGCCAAAGTACTTGAGTTTCAACTTCAGGATCTGTCCTTCTAAAGAGCAGTCAGGGTTGATCTCCTCTAGGACTGACCGGTTTGATGGCCTTGCAGTCCAGGAGACTCACAGGAGTCTTCTCCAGCACCAGAGTTCAAAGGCCTCCATTCTTTGGCGCTCAGCCTTTCTTATGGTCCAACTTTCACAGCCATACATTGCAACTGGGAAAACCATGGGAAAATAGATGATAGATAGATAGATGGATGGATGGATGGATGGATGGATGGATGGATGGATGGTAGGTAGGTAGGTAGGTAGGTAGGTAGGTAGGTAGGTAGGTAGGTAGGTAGATAGATAGATAGATAGATAGATAGATAGATAGATAGATGATAGATGGATGGATGGATGGATGGATGGATGGATGGTAGGTAGGTAGATAGATAGATAGATAGATAGATAGAGATAGATAGATAGATAGATAGATAGATAGATAGATAGATAGATAGATAGATAGATAGATAGATAGATAGATAGATAGATAGACAGATGATAGGTAGGTAGGTAGGTAGGTAGGTAGGTAGGTAGGTAGATAGATAGATAGATAGATAGATAGATAGATAGATAGATAGATAGATAGATAGATAGATAGACAGATAGACAGATGATAGGTAGATAGATGATAGACAGACAGACAGACAGACAAAGCTTTACCTGCTGCAGTCGGTAGATGCTGGATTGGGGAAGATGTTCCCTGGTTAGGTACTGGGGGGGGGGGGAAGACAACCAGCTCAGAGAGCACCAAGGATTCCACAGTTCAACCCTGAGCTTCAAATATGCCCTTGGAGAGAAGGCTATTTCCAAGCCCTGCCTGAAGACGTCAAGGTCTTTAGCATCAAGAATCACTAAAGCCAATTGAGGGGTCCTTGGTGCTGCCTGAGCTTGGTTGTTTCCTTGCAGATGTCTCGTTACCCAAAGTAAGTAACATCATCAGTGGGGTTTGCAGAAAGGAGGAGGAGGAGGAAAACTGTGGGGTCCTGGGTGCTCCCTGAGCTTGGTTGTTTCCTTGCAGGCGTCTCATGTCCCAACTAGGTAACGTCATCAGGGCTATTAGAGAGTGGAGTAGAGGAGGAGGAGGATGGTGGGGTCCTTGGTGCTCTCCGAGCTTGCTTGTTTTCTTGCAGACATTTCATTACCCAACTAAGTAACATCATCAGTGCTAGAAAGGAGTGGGGGTTGTGGAAAGGAGAAGGAGGATGATTGTGGGGTCTTTGATGCTCTTGCAGACATTTCGTGACCCAACTAGATAACATCATCAGTGCTAGAAGGGAGAGGAGGAGGAGGAGGAGGAGGACTGTGGGGTCCTTGGTGTTCTCCGAGTGTGCTTGTTTTCTTGGAGACATTTCATTACCCAACTAGGTAACATCATCAGTGCTAGAAAGGAGTGGGGGTTGTGGAGGGGAGGAGAAGGAGGAGGACTGTGGGGTCCTTGTTCCTCTCCGAGCTTGGTTGTTTCCTTGCAGATGTTTCTTTATAATGCCAATTAGGGACGCTGCAGCTGAGCTGGGTCCCTCCTTAGCCCTTGTTATTCCATACTTTTTGTGCGCGGTGACAATGACAAGGCCTTGCTTCTTCTTCCCATCCCCTTCCCTGCTCCGGTTCCTATTTCTCAGTGGCCTCTTTCTTTCTCCCCATAGCCAGAGCTGATTTTCTAATCATAGGCATCCCTGTGCAATTGTATCTAGTTTAATGATTGTGTCTAGCCTAATGAAGAGAAGGATGAGAGGTGACATGATAGCAGGGTTCCAGTATCTCAGGGGCTGCCCCAAAGAAGAGGGAGTCAAGCTATTCTCCAAAGCGCCTGAAGGCAGGACAAGAAGCAACAGATGGAAACTAAGCAAGGAGAGAAGCAACCTGGAACTAAGGAGAAACTTCCTGACAGTGAGAACAATTAACCAGTGGAACAACCTGCCTCCAGAAGCGGTGAATGCTCCAACACTGGAGGTTTTTAAGAAGAGACTGGACAGCCATTTGTCTGAAATGGTATAGGGTTTCCTGCCTGAGCAGGGGGTTGGACTAGATGACCTCCAAAGTCCCTTCCAACTTTACTACTATTATTATTAAGCTGAGCCATGCTGGCTCAGGAATTCTGGGAGTTGAAGTCCGTAAGTCATAAAAGAGCCAAGGTTCCCCACCCCTGCTATAGACCAACTCTACATCCCGTGGAACTACTGGTTTGTACCTTTAGAGCAGGGGTCTTCAAACTTGGCCCTTTTATGACTGGTGGACTTCCACTCCCAGAATTCCTCAGCCAGCCATGCTGAGGGGAAAGGGAGAAGTTTCCATGCTAAGCCATGCTGGCTCAGGAATTCTGGGAGTTGAAGTCCACCGAGTCATAAAAGAGCCAAGGTTGCCTACCCCTATCCTAGGACGAAGATTAAGAGCAGGGGTCTTCAAACCTGGCTCTTTTATGACTCGTGGACTCCAACTCCCAGAATTCCTGAGCCAGCCACGCTAAGGGGACAGGGAGAGGTTTCCAAGCTGAGCCATGCTGGCTCAGGAATTCTGGGAGTTGAAGTCCACGAGTCACAAAAGAGCCAAGGTTCCCCACCCCTGGTATAGGGTTTTCTGCCTGAGCAGAGGGTTGGATTAGAACAGGTGTCCCCAATCCCTAGGCCAGGGGTAGGCAACCTTGGCTCTTTTATGACTCGTGGACTTCAACTCCCAGAATTCCTGAGCCAGCCATGCTGAGGGGAAAGGGAGAAGTTTCCATGCTAAGCCATGCTGGCTCAGGAATTCTGGGAGTTGAAGTCCACCAGTCATAAAAGAGCCAAGGTTGCCCACCCCTGGACCAGAAGACCTCCAGGGTCCCTTCCAACTGTTGTTGTTGTTGTTGTTGTTGTTATTATTATTATTATTTCTCCCACAGGCCCTCTACGAATTGGTGAAATGTAACTTCAACGCAGAAGAAGCCCTGAGGCGACTCCGGTTCAACGTGAAGGTCATTCGAGGTAAGACGTAAGGCCGTTCTGTCTTTCTCTTCTTTCTACTTTTCTCTCTTTCTCTTGTTTGGCAGAGGCTCTGTAGTCCCACTGGGAAACACCCCCCTCCCTCAGATTTCCCAAGCTCACCTTTTCAAACCTGGCGCCCTTGAGGAGAACAGGTAGTCCTCGACTTACGACCATTCATTCAGTGACAGTTCAAAGTTACAACAGCATTCAAGAAAAAAAAAACCCGACGTGACCGTTTTTCACACTTAACAACCGTTGCAGCATCCCCAGGGTCACATGATTGAAAGTCAGACACTATAATAATAATAATAATAATAATAATAATAATAATAATAATAATAATAATAATAATAATAATAATAATAATAATAATAATAATAATAAAGTTGGAAGGGACCTTGGAGGTCATCTAGTCCAACCCCCTGCTCAGGCAGGAAACCCTATACCATTTCAGACAAATGGCATGTGTTTACAACAGTTGCAGTATCCGGGGGGGGGGGGGTCACGTGATCCCCTTTTGCGACCTTCTGACCAGCAAAGTCAGTGGGGGAAGTCAGATTCACTTAACAACCGTGTTATTACCTTAACCACGGCAGTAATTCACTTAACGTCTTTGACGAGAAAGGTCATAAAATGGGGCAAAATTCACTTAATCCATTGCCTTGCTTAGCAACAGAAATTTTGGGCTCAGTTGTGGTCCTAAGTGTATTTATTACAGCACTTAAAGAAACAATGAATAGATGCATAAAAGAAATAAAAAAATATGTAAAGAGAGTTAGTAGGTATAGAACAGGGGGAGGCAACCTTGGCTCTTTTATGACTCGTGGAGTTCAATAAGTCATGAAGGGGCCAAAGTTTCTCCCATGCTGCCTCAGGAATTCTGGGAGTTGAAGTTTGCAGGTCATGAAAGGGCCAAAGTTTCCCCCATGCTGGCTCAGGAATTCCGGGAGTTGAAGTCCACGAGTCATAAAGGAGCCATAGTTCCCCCATGCTGCCTCAGGAATTCTGGGAGTTGAAGTTCACAAGTCATGAAGGGGCCAAAATTTACCCCTTGCTGGCTCAGGAATTCTGGGAGTTGAAATTCACAAGTCATGAAGGGGCCAAAATTTACCCCTTGCTGGCTCAGGAATTCTGGGAGTTGAAGTCCACAGGTCACAAAGGAGCCATAGTTCCCCCATGCTGGCTCAGGAATTCTGGGAGTTGAAGTTCGCGTCATGAAGGGGCCAAAGTTTCCCCCATGCTGCTTCAGGAATTCTGGGAGTTGAAGTCCACAGGTCACAAAGGAGCCATAGTTCCCCCATGCTGTCTCAGGAATTCTGGGAGTTGAAGTCAACTAGTCATGAAAGGGCCATAGTTCCCACATGCTGGCTCAGGAATTCTGGGAGTTGAAGTCCACAAGTCATAAAAGAGCCAAGGTTGCCTACCCCTGGTATAGAATAAAGTACCAGTAAATGTACAAAGTGTTTGCAGATATCTCCAAATTTAAATTCCTTATAGCAATACTAATAGCACTTAGACTTAAATATCGCTTTACAACCCTCTCTAAGTGGTTTACTGCAGTGGTCCCCAAGCTTTCTAGCTTGGCAGCCTAACGGCCTGGCACGGTATTTGTGTGGGGGGGTGAGTGGTAGGCACAGACACCCTCCACTCACACAAATGGAGGTTCGCACGCAAGCTGAGGGTGCTTGTGCTCTTGCAAAGTTCCACTCGTGCAAGCGCCCTCTGCTTACACGAGTAGAGCTTCGCATGTGAGGTTGTCCCCCCCCCCACATATGCATTTGCCCATTTCTCCCCAGTGGTTGGAGACCCCTGGTTTACAGAGTCAGCCTATAGCCCCCAACAATCTGGCTCCTCATTTCACCGACCTCGGAAGGACGGAAGGCTGAGTCAACCTTGAGCCGGTTAGGATCGAACTCCCAGCAGTGGGCAGAGTCAGCCTAGCAATTCTGCATTCTAACCACTGCACCACACTGGCTCTGTCGTTGATTAATTTTACCTTGTTAATTAATTATTGAAGTATAGGACTAGGTTTCTTATACAATCTTAATTGGAAATCTCCAGATATTAATGTTGTAATAAAATTCATATTGGTAATACCACTACTGGTAATTCATTAAAAAGGAAAAGAAATAGAAAGAAAAAGGGGTAGATTAAAGGTAAAGGTTACCCATGGATCAATTTCACCCCTGAGCAGAGTTTTTAAACCTGGGTCCCCAGATTAATCTAAACCCTTAATTTGAAGAAGAGGCCTGCTGGATTAACAAAAGACGTGGTTGAAAGTCTAAGCAGAACAGAGCCCGTCAACCCCAATATCCAGGTGGATTCAAGGGCAAGAGTTAATAAAGAATTAATTAAGGGAGGGCTTGAGCACCTCACTGAGCCATATTACACTTAACTCTTGAGACGTCATCCAAACCAGGAGTGTGATTAAGATGGAGAGGGTTGACTACAACAGGAAAACCATGCTTTGTTTTAGATTTAGAGCAGGGGTGTCAAAACTTCTGGCTGGTGGGCCGGATGCATCATAGCAAAAGCGCGCCCACACCATTGCCGGCAATGGGGGAAAAAAAGTCATGATACGTCGCGACACGTCATGTGATAAGATAAGATAAGATAACCTTTATTGTCATTTTTTTTTACTGTGGGCACAACGGCACACATCAAGAATTAAATTTAGTTGCCCGCTCTCAAAGTGAAACACATACATGACACAAACCTAAACATACTATGTACAACATATGTATAGACCCACACCCCTACATATACATAACAAATAAATATTAAATACTGTCCATCTTGAATATATAACGGAAGGAGGAAGCTTGAGAGCATCTAAATCGGGGGTGTCAAACTGCCAGCCCGCAGGCCGGACGCATCATGCGGAAGACGCGCCCACCCCATTGCTGGCAATGGCAAAACAGTCCCGATAGGTCGCGCGACATCACGTGGCGTCGCGAGTTTGACATGTCTGATCTAAATCATCGTGTATGTCTGATGTAGGTTATGTCTGATGTCAATCAGCCGTTAATTTCTTCTTCCAGCTTCTGTATGACAGAATAACAGAGTTGGAAGACCTTGGAAATCTTCTAATCCAACCCCCTGCTCAGGCAGAAGACCCTATACCATTTCAGACAAATGGCTGTCCAGTCTCTTCTTAAAAACCTCCAGTGTTGGAGCATTCACCGCTTCTGGAGGCAGGTGGTTCCACTGGTTAATTGTTCTCACTGTCAGGAAGTTTCTCCTTATTTCTAAGTTGCTTCTCTCCTTGGTTAGTTTCCATCCGTTGCTTCTTGTCCTGCCTTCAGGTGCTTTGTGGAATAGCTGGACTCCCTCTTCTTTGGGGCAGCCCCTGAGATACTGGAACACTGCTATCATGTCCCCCCTCATCCTTCTCTTCATTAAACTAGACATACCCAATTCCAGCAACCGTTCCTTATATGTTTTAGCATCAAGTCCCCTAATCATCTTTTACAGGTAGTTTTACAGGTAGTCCTCAACGTACGACCACAACGGAGCCTGTCCATCACAGTCATAATTTGTGACGTCTGTAAACCGAGTTGGTCACATCACCAGCTTGATTTTACTCCCTTTTTTTTGCAGCAGTTGTTAAGCGAACCCATGGTTCGCCGTGAGCTGGCGTTGCGGAAAACGTAGATGCCAGGTTTCGGCAAAACTCTCGTAAAACGCAGTCACGTGTTGTCATTTCAAACCGCCGCTAAATGAATGGTTGTACGTCGAGGACAACCTGTATCTCAACAGCTTCTTGCGAGGTTCTCCATTAATGAAGATGGCCGCAGAGGAAGAAGGCGGTTAGAAGCCAAACTAACTTTGGTCAAGTCAGAAGAAGTAAAGAAGTAAAACTAAAGTTGGCCAAAGCCTAACATGCATATAGATTATATAATAATAATAATAATGATGATGATGATGATGATGATGATGATGATGATGATGATGAAGAAGAAGAAGAAGAAGAAGAAGAAGTAGTAATAGTAGTAGTAATAGTAGTAGTAATAGTAGTAGTAATAGTAGTAGTAATAGTAGTAGTTGGAAGGGACCTTGGAGCTCATCTAGTCCAACCCCCTGCCCCCCTGCTCAGGCAGGAAACCCTATACCATTTCGGACAAATGGCTGTCCAGTCTCTTCTTAAAAACTTCCAGTGTTGGAGCATTCACCGCTTCTGGAGGCAGGTTGTTCCACTGGTTAATGGTTCTTACTGTCAGGAAGTTTCTCCTTAGTTCTAGGTTGCTTCTCTCCTTGATCAGTTTCCATCCGTTGCTTCTTGTCCTGCCTTCAGGCACCTTGGAAAATAGCTTGACTCCCTCTTCTTTGGGGCAGCCCCTTTGTGGCAAACCCCCTTTGTGGTAAATGGGAAATAATCCGGTTGCTAGAATTCTTGCCACCTCGCCTCTCCCTCTTGGTAGATCTTGCTGAGCAGATCTTGTGTACTTTGTGCTAAAAGTCAGAGAACGGACAGTTTCCAAGACAGTCATGTGTCCCCTGGCTTGAAAGAAAGAATCGTGGATCAGAGATCGATGCAACAATTAAATGCCGCCACTTCCAATAAAGTCAGGATCTCATTGCGGAACAATCCGGAAAAAAACAGATGAAAATAACTGTCAGTGTTTGGAGATTGAAGCATGTTTCTCCTTTTTTATAAAAAAAAAAAAACAGAAGAAGAAGATCTGACTCAATTATTGAACAGCTTAAAAAAAAATAAACCTACATGGCGTCCTCTAATTTTTAAAAGTTTAGGAAAATTCTCAGCGATCTTTTTTTTCTTTCTAGAGGAATACAGGCAGTCCTCGAGTTATCGCCACAGTTGAGCCCAAAATTTATTTTGCTAAGAGAGAGAGAGAGTTGTTAAAGTGAGTTTTTGCCCATTCTGTGACCTTTCTTGCCACAGTTGTTAAGTGAATCGTTGCAGTGCAGTTGTTAAGTTAGAAACACGGTTGTTAAGTGAATCCGGCTTTCCTCCTTGACTTGGCTTGTCAGGAGGTCGCAAAAGGGGATCACGTGACACCCCCCCGGGACACTAGCAACCGTCATAAATATGAGTCAGTTGCCAAGCGTCTGAATTTTGATCATGTGACCATGGGGATGCTACGACGGTTGTTAAGTGTGAAAAACGGTGATAAGACACTTTTTTCAGTGCTATTGTAATCTTTGGACGGTCACTAAATGAACTGTAGTAAGTCGGGGACTACTTGCACAAAGATGACAGACCGCAAACTTAGGCAAGAAAATAAGAAGAAAAAAAGTTTGTTTGTTTGTCTGGCTTTGATTATTTGGTCACCGCGATGTAAAAAAGATGTTGAGACTCTGGAAAGAGTGCAGAGAAGAGCAACAAAGATGATTAGGGGACTGGAGGCTAAAACATATAAGGAAAGGCTGCTGGAATTGGGTATGTCTAGTTTAACGGAGAGAAGGACGAGGGGGGACAGGATAGCAGTGTTCCAATATCTCAGGGGCTGCCACAAAGAAGAGGGAGTCAAGCTATTCTCCAAAGCGCCGGAAGGCAGAACAAGAAGCAATGGGTGGAAACTAATCAAGGAGAGAAGCAACCTAGAACTAAGGAGAAACTTCCTGACAGTTAGAACAATTAACCAGTGGAACAACCTGCCTCCAGAAGCTGTGAATGCTCCAACACTGGAAGTTTTAAAGAAGAAACTGGATAGCCATTTGTCTGAAATGGTATAGGGTTACCTGCCTGAGCAGGGGGTTGGACTTGATGACCTCCAAGGTCCCTTCCAACTTTATTATGATTAGGATGATGATGATGATGATAACGATGATGATAACGATGATGATGATGATGATTATAAAATCTTTTAGCTTTAGAGCATGTCCACCAAAGATGGTAATAAGTGCCTGGTTTTGGTTTACATTTCCAACAATTGCTTCATATATTTTTAAACATTTTTGCTAACCTCACCGCTGTTAAATGCCATCTATAAAACATTTTATATCAATTTTCTTCGTACGCTACCGCTTTCATTTTAAAAAAAAAGTTTTTGTTTGTTTGTCCGGCTTTGATTCTTTTTTGATGGCTTTTAAGATTCTGTTGTTACAACCTAAAGCAAAAAAGTCAAATTCAGGGATTTCTGGCGGTCTTTACAAGTAGTCCCCAACTTAACGGCCGCAACGGAGCCGAAGGTTTCTGCTGTTAAGCGAGACATTTTGTTAAATGAGTTTTGTCCCATTTTACGGCCTTTCTCGTCACAGTCATTAAGAGAATCACAGCAGTTGATAAGTAGTAAGACGGTTGGCTTCCCCATTGATCTTGCAAGTAAGAAAGTTAAGAAAGGAGATATCATGACCTTAAGACAGGTGCCCCCAACCCCCGGTCCATGGACCAGTACCGGGCCATGGCATGCCTGCAACTGGGCCACACAAACAAGCAAAGCCCCATCCGCAGGATGTAGACAGCAGACAAAACCACGCACCCTCTGGTCTGCGGAAAAACTTCTCTCCACGGAACCGGTCCCTAGTGCCCAAAAGGTTGGGGGCCTCTGCCTTAGGACACAGGAACGGTCATAAGTATGAACCAGTTGCCAAGCATCTGAATTTTAATAATAATAATCATAACAACAACAACAATAATAATAATAAAAATGTTGGAAGGGATCTTGGAGGTCATCTAGTCCAACCCCCTGCTCAGGCAGGAGACCCTATACCATTTCAGACAAATGGCTGTCCAGTTTCTTCTTAAAAACTTCCAGTGTTGGCGCATTCACCGCTTCTGGAGGCAGGTTGTTCCACTGGTTAATTGTTCTCACTGTCAGGAAATTTCTCCTTAGTTCTAGGTTGCTTCTCTCTTTGGTTAGTTTCCACCCATTGCTTCTTGTCCTGCCTTCAGGCGCTTTGGAGAATAGCTTGACTCCCTCTTCTTTGGGGCAGCCCCTGAGATATTGGAAGACTGCTATCATGTCCCCCCTCGTCCTTCTCTTTGTTAAACTAGACATACCCAATTCCAGCAGCCGTTCCTTATATGTTTTAGCCTCCAGTCCCTTAATCATCTTTGTTGCTCTTCTCTGTACTCTTTCCAGAGTCTCAACATCTTTTTTACATCGTGGTGACCAAAACTGGATGCAGCATTCCAAGTGTGGCCTTCCCAAGGCCTTGTAAAGTGGTATTAATACTTCACGTGATAACATTTTGATCACATAATCACGGGGATGCTGCAAAGATGAAAAATGGTCCTAAGTCACTTTTTTCAGTGCCGTTGTAACTTTGAACGGTCACTAAATGAACTGTTGTAAGTCGAGGGCTACCTGTCTTTCCTGAGCTGGCCTATCTGGAAGGGCTGACATTCTCTCCCTGATTGCCTCCCTCTCCCCCTTTGCAGATGAGCTCTGTGCCTGGAGCGAAGAAGAATGCCGAAACTTTGAACATGGATTTCGGGTGCACGGAAAAAACTTCCACCTTATTCAAGCCAACAAGGTAAAATTGGAAGCCAGTCTGGGTCCCGTGTGAAGGCAGGTGAATTCCAAGCAGGGTTTTCAAAGGGGCAGTAGAAAAGGCAAGGTTTCAGGAGGCTGACTGCGCTGTTCACCCCTCGTTGCCTTCTTGCGTGTCCTGGCAAATACGGACATTGTGATGACAGTTTAGACCAGGGGGTCTTCGAAATTGGCCCTTTTATGACTTGTGGACTTCAGCTCCCAGAATTCCTCAGCCAGGCGTGCCTGGCTGAGGAATTCTGGGAGTTGAAGTCCACAAGTCATAAAAGGGCCAAGTTTGAAGACCCCTGGTTTAGGCCCAAGGGTATCTCCAACTTTGGCAAAGTGTAAAACCTGTGGACTTCACCTCCCAAAATTCCCCAGCTGTGGGAATTCTGGGAGTTGAAGTCCACAAGTCTTAAAAGTTGCCAAGGTTGAAAACTCTTGGTTTAGTCCAGGGGTAGGCAACCTTGGCCCTTTTATGACTCGTGGACTTCAACTCCCAGAATTCCTGAGCCGCCATGGCTCAGCATGGAAACCTCTCCCTGTCCCCTCAGCATGGCTGGCTCAGGAATTCTGGGAGTTGAAGTCCACAAGTCATAAAAGAGCCAAGATTGCCTACCCCTGGTTTAGCCTGAGGGGCCCAAGGTTAGGGACAGTTACTGGCTGAGATGGATCTTCTCCTGTGCTCTCAGATGATCTGGAATGGCACGCCCACTTTCAAAACCGTAAAACGTAGAATATAGAACATAGTATAATAGGGTTGGAAGGGACGTTGGAGGTCTTCTAGTCCAATCCCCCAGCCCATGGCAGGAGATCTATACCATTCCAGACCTTTGGGCTTGATGGGATGGATACACACAACCATAGAAAGAATCATTCAATAACAAAACAGAATAGAATTGTAAGGGACCTTGGAGGTCATCTAGTCCAACCCCCTACTCAGGCAGGAAACCCTATGCCATTTCAGGCAAATGGCTGTCCAGTCTCTCCTTAAAACCCCCCAGTGATGGAGCACCCACAACTTCTGGAGACAGGTTGTTCCACTGGTTAATTGTTCTCACTGTTAGGAAATTTCTCCAGCTTTAGGGAACTGTCTCTTCCCAGAGATATACAAGTAGTCCTCAACTTACGACCATTATTGGGCCCAGAATTTCCATTGCTAAGCATGACAGGTGTTAAGTCAGTCGTGCCTGATTTTACGACCTTTTTGCCATGGTTGTCAAGCGAATCAAATGGTCCTTAAGGTATCCAGCTTCCCTCATTGACTTTGCTTGGTAGAAGCTGTCTGGGAAAGTCACAAATGGCAATCACATGACACCCCCCCCCCCAGGACATTGCAGTTGTCGTAAATACATGTCAGTTTGCCAAGTGCCAGAATTTTTGATCACATGACCAGGGGGATGCTGTGACAATCATAAGTGGAAGAACCAGCTGGACATCCCTTTTCCCGTGCTGCTGTGATTGTGAACAGTGGCTGTACTAATGGTTGGAAGTCAAAGACTATGTCAGGGGTCTTCAAACTTGGCCCTTTTATGACTGGTGGACTTCAACTCCCAGAATTCCTCAGCCAGGCATGCATGCCTGGCTGAGGAATTCTGGGAGGTGAAGTCCACCAGTCATAAAAGGGCCAGGTTTGAAGACCCCTGGGCTATGCTGTTACTTTTCTCACTGAAGTGGTACCTATTTATCTACTTGCATTTGCATGTTTTAAACTGCTAGGTTGGCAGGAGATGGGCAAGTGATAGGAGATCACCCCGTTGCGCGATGTTCCGGTCTCGAACCCGGACTGCCGGCTTTCCAGCCGACAAGCCCACTGTCTTAACTGCTGAGCCATTGCACTCCCCTACCTGTATGTAGACCTTATTTTATTTATCTTCTAAGCCAGGGGTCCCCAACCTGTGGGCCGTGGGCCGGTAGGGGGCAGGCCACCGGGCCTTGGGACAAGCTGGCCAGTGTCCATGCATGTGCGGGCACACCCCCTCACTTGCGCTAGTGCAGCAGCTGGGCACAAAAATGGGCCACCGCCATGCCTCGGGGTGCAAAAATGGGACGCCATGCCTCGGGACACAAAAACGGACCACCGCCGTGCCTCAGGGTGCAAAAATGGGACACCACACCTCGGGGCACGAAAACGGGCTGCCACCACTGCGCCTCGGGGTGCAAAAACAGGATGCCACTGCTGCACCTAGGGGTGCAAAAACGGGATGCCACCGCTGCGCCTTGGGGTGCAAAAATGGGACGCCACGTCTCGGGGCACAAAAATGGGCTGCCATGCCTCGGAGCGTGAAAACGGGCCGCCGTCACGGCTCGGGGCACAAAAATGGGATGCTGTGCCTTGGGGCGTGAAAACAGGACACCGCCGCTGAACCTCGGGGTGCAAAAACAGGACGCTACACCTCGGGGCACGAAAATGGCACGTCACCGTGCCGCGGGGTGCCAAAATGGCCCACCACCGTGCCACAGGGCGCAAAAATGGGGCGCCGCCACCAAGGGGTGCAAAAACGGCGTGCCGAAACAAGCCCCGCCCTGTTTGCGCAGTGCATACGCATGCATGCATGTAAATTGCTTCCGCCTCCCTTTTCCTCCAGTCCACCAGGTCCCTTCCAACTTTTTTATTATTATTATTATTATTATTATTATTATTATTATTATTATTATTATTATTATTATTATTATTATTATTATTACCTCTGTTCTAAGCCAAGGCTCTATTATTTCAGCAAACCTTTGGCCACTAGAGGTACTGAATGAATTGTGTCGGTCCTCTTTACTTGATTTCTCAGTTTAATGATAATGCATTTTAATGTTGTGTATTGCTGAACACGGTTCAGAGTTCTCCAGGACTGGAGTGGATTATAAGTACTGCAGATAAATTTAAAAGGAAACCACCTTCATTCATCTCAATCTGTCCTTTTTCTACTCTTTAGCCCCCGAGGTTTCCAAAGTGGTTTTTGTGGCTATAACAGGTCACGCTAAACCTTGTTTAACAAACCACAGTTGCTCTTATTCATTTGCTGTTTCATTTCATTTCATTTCATTTCATTTTATTTGATTTATATCCCGCCCTTCTCCCGACGGGACTCAGGGCGGCTCACAACATATTTAAAACAAAGACATACCCACAATCCCCGCCAAATAAAACCAAATTAAAACCAAATATTTTAGAGTTGTGGTGTTAAAATTTTTCTAAAAAACCCAATTTAAAATCCTCCCTAGGCCAGGCCCACTTGTTGGAAAAGCCATGTCTTGAGGGCGCGGCGGAAAGTAAGGAGATCCGGAATCGTCCGGATCTCGGGGGGTAGTTCGTTCCAGAGGGCAGGGGCACCCACAGAGAAGGCCCTCCCCCTGGGGGTCGCCAGCCGACATTGCTTGGCCGACAGCACCCTGAGGAGACCCACTCTGTGGGAGCGTACCGGTCTATGGGAGGAAATCTGTGGCAGAAGGCGGTCTCGGAGATAGCCAGGTCCTATGCCATGGAGCGCTTTAAAGGTGGTAACTAACACCTTAAAGCGCACCCGGAAGACCACTGGCAACCAGTGCAGCTCGCGCAGCAGCGGTGT